ACCCTGGGGAATGGAAGAGTAAGCTAGAACTTAGGGGCCAGTGAGATGGCTTAGCAAATAAGGGTGCTTACTACCAAGGCTGACAACCTGAGTTTGATACATGGAACCCACACGGTAGAAGAAGACAGACCTCCATACACACAACACACAGTACATGCCCACCCATGCACACACTGGGTAGGGGGTGGCTGTACCCTCTTTCTTGGCCTGAAGACGGCTCTCCACATCCTCACCACCTACCTCCTTGTCCAGGAGATTCCATCTTAAGGGTCTCCACCTTCCCCAAGACACAAAATCATGAAGGACAAGTTTTTCAAGGAGCATGGCTTTGGGATTTATAACCAAATCTTCCTCAAGGTAACTACTAAAATGTGTCTGCCTTGCCTCTCTGGAATCAAGAAGAAGGAGAAGGAAAATGAGGAACAAACAGCACCAGTTCCCATCTCAGCAAATCACCCCATCCCATGCCACCCTCCCTTCTGACACATGTCAGACTGATGTTCGTTTCTTCTCTCCACTCCACATGCCCTCCCTCTACCTGGACAGCACTGCCACCCCACAGCCACATACTCCTACTCCTCCGTCAATCTTGTTTGGGCCTCGATAGTACTCCAGGGCACCCTGAACATTTCCTATCAGACATGACCGCTTTCAGCCACTGGCTTGGCTTCTTTTCCACCTGCATTCTGCAAGAGATGCCTGTGGCTTGTTGCATTTGTGTAGTTTGCACATAGTAGCTGTTTGCAGAAATGGATGGGCCCAGTCCCTGTGTTAGACTCACTCAACAGATACAAAGCCGGATTGCTAAGCCCCTTAGCTGGGCTTGTTCGGCCCCTCTCATCCTCCCTTCCTTGAGTCCCAGGTAGTTGTATGCTCCATAATGCTACCCACAGAGCAGGATAGAAAGGGAACCATTCATTTGAGTATATCTCAGCCAGAAGCCAGTCAGGCCCCTTCTTTGAGATTCTGAGCACTCTCAAGTTCGTGGTCTGCTCAGACGAGGGCACAGATGGCTGGACAGTGGACAGATGGGCCAGGAGGGTAGGCAGCTTGGCGGGATGGAAATAGCGTGAACTAGGTAGGCATTGGGAGTCCTGGGCACAGAGCCTGTCTGTTCCCTGAGTTTGCTGCACGCATCATTCTGGGCTCTTTGGCTGCCAACAACAGAAACACTTCATAACCCAGACGGTAAAGATTCTTATCAGAAGCCTTGGGGCATGACACAGACATGATGGGCAGCTGAGCTCCACCTCAGGCATCCTTCCTGTGACAAGAGGCAGACAGGGCACCAGGTGAAGGGGCAGGTAACTCCTAACAAGGATTCAGGATTTGGTGGATGACCTGCAAACACTGTTCAGGTCATAACTGTGTGACCTGAGTTACTTCTCTGTGCCTCAGTTTCCCCCAACTTAATGTTCTGAAACTGGCCACTTTTTCTTTACATCTACAGTTTGCATTTTGCTGAGGAAAATTCCCAGCCCTGGCCCCAGATGGCACCTTTCCCTACCTGGATACCTTGGGAATGAAGTTTGAGGGAGCTAGGTGAGTGCACACGTGTGTGTGGTCCCCAGGAGGCACTGAATCTGCATATTCTGTGGCTAGTGACCAGTCTGTATAATGTGACAGCCTGATCATTTCTTTTCCATCAAGCCAGCTCATTCTCTGCCCCTGTATGCTAAACTTGCCGGTAACAGACCTGGATGGTGGTCTACCTAGCTGTTCTTCTCTATGTTGAGAAGCTCCTAGCTAAATCCACTGTGTTCTCAGATACCCCAAAGCCACCTGAGAACCTGACACTACCCTATTCTTGACCTTTAAAGTCCATCAGAAGCTCAGGATCAAGAGTGGATGCCTGGAATGCATCAGGGGTGGAGGGGGAAGGGTGCTCCCACATCACCCTTCACATCACTGGATGGGGAAAGTAGGTGGCTAAATCTCTAAGGAGCATCAAAACAAACTAAGCAGCTAGAAAAGCATGAGGCAGGTGTGGGGAAGCCTGGTAGGTTTGATTCTTCCCTGGAAATTTGGAAATTATGAAACGCTCTATGAAAGAGGTGATGGCTGAGAAGAATACACAGGAGGAGTAGGATGTGGCAGAAGTTGGAAAGAACATCACAGGTTGAGGAACAGTGCGAACCAAGGCACAGAAGTGAGAGCAGTTCCTCTTGGCAACTAGAGATGGGAAATAGGATCTTGAGACAGTGAAGAGCTTTGTGGTGATGGAGAGGCATGCTGAGAGGCCTGAGAGGGCAAACAGAAAGTCATGGTAAAGCACAAGCCGATTATGATTCTCCCAGCTTCACACTTGGGCGTCACGGTCCCTCCCAGCTAAGCTTCCTCCTGTGTCCCCCATATCACCTAAGCTGGGTGCTTGCTCAGGCCTACCTCACCAAATCTGTCATCTTTGTCTTCATAAATACTGCACAAAGCCAGCATCTATTCCAGGATGCCTTCAGTAGCACCCACCCACCTACTCCTAGGCCATGGAGTCGTACAAACAAACGCGCTCCCCATTGTTCTTGAACAAGCCCCTGTTGGAACTTCCTCCAGCTCATAGCAGCTATTTGTGTCAGCACCATTGGCCATGGGCTCCTAGAAGCTGGTGAGTGATGCAGGCTGGGTCTGTAACTATGTACTTATGCCCACAGACATGAAAGGACAGTTAAAGGTAATAGTGATGTCATCCAGGCTACAAGCAGCTTGGGATGTGACCACCTGTGCCAAGGACAGGGAAGTGATGGCCCAAAGTCCTAAGCTTGTGGGAATAATAGCACTGGATCACAAAAGGCAGACCCAATCTATATGTCCGTCAGCTGATAAGTGGACAATGCAATGTCATTTGTCCATACCGTGGGAGATTATTCACCAATAAAAACGTACCCGCTGGTAATGGTTACCAGCTTGGATGTACGCTGAAGGCATCATGCTAAGTGAAAGGAACAAGACACGAAAGTCTCCGTGTATGCTTCTACTTCCGTGAAACATCCAGAATCGGCCATGGAAACACAAATAAAATCAGAGGTTGCCAGGGTCTTAGGGGATGGAAAATGATAGATATATGGGGGTTCCTCTGGGGAGGTAAAAACATGTTCTAACCAGGCAATGCTGGTGTTAGACGCCATGAGTTTATTCAGTGTACAATGACGGGCTTCATCCAGATGTGGTAGGTAGTACACACCTGCAGTCCCATCATTCAAGGGCAGACGTAGGAAGATCAGGAGTTCAAGACCAACCTGGGCTGCATAACAATACTTTCTCAATAAATAAGTAAAGAAATAAACATTAGATTTTATGCTATGCAGACTTTATCACCAGATGCCACATGCTGAAGGAAGTCCCTTCCTTACACCTATGCTGCTGGCTCCACCCCCTTCTGCTATGGACTTCCTGAACTCAAGCTGGCTCTGGGAGTCTTGTGCTACCTCTCAGTACAAGGAAGCCACACAGCCACGTGCAAGAACTCCCCATCCAAGAGGTGGGGCTCACGACTTCTGGGAGAAGCCTCACCTGCTTTCTCATTCTTCTGAGCAGACTACTTCCAGTCGGTGCCCCAAATGAAACATTTCTACTGCCCAAGTTCTCACTCTGGGAGCCTGTCATCTACATAGAAATAGCCTTTAAGAAGTAGTTCCAGTCTTCCATTTGGAGGACACTTCCTCCTCCCACAGACTTGAGGGGAACTCTTTCCTTGAGTGGAACTTAAGTCCAGGCATCAGTTAACGGGACAGATGCCATGACACAATCATGTTAGCATCTCCAGCTCTTTGGTCAGTGGGAAGGGCCCTGGCTCGCTCAGCACTGCATTGGGCTGCCAGAGGTCTTGCTCACAGGGGTTGCTCAGCAAATGCATGTAGAAGGCGTCCCGTCATCTCTGAGGCTCTCTGCTTCTAAGCACAACAGTGGGAAGCCATTGAGTGAGTTGACACGGGCGAGGTTTTAGCAAGCGTTGCTGACAGAGGTGGAGGAGGAAAGGGTTGCCCACAGCAATCCATTCCGTGCTCTATTTCTGCTCCTGGTGGGCAGAAATACCCAGATAATACCCAGAGGCAGGGCTTCTCCGTGTGGTGTGAATGGACCATCCTGGTTTTGGAAATCGGATCAAACTCCTGCCATAGTCTAGACACACAGCTCTGAAGGGGCAGGGGCTGGAGTCCAGCACGGGGCAGAACCAAATCTTGCTCCGTTTTCTTCCGCCATGTTGGGTGCTACTCATTCTGCTTTTCTGACTATGAAATTAGTCATTTTCTAGGAAGCTTATTTATAGAGTCCACTGCACGCATGCAGCGCTGAGCTATTCTGAAAGCGGCTGGGGTGTGAAAGCAGCTGTGAGTCACTTGTGGGTCCCCGTCCAGATACCTTGGTTATCTTTCTGCCTAACATTGTCATCCACTGACTTGGGGTATCTTCTGTCTAGGGGTGCTCTTACAGTAAAGCAAGTTTGTGATTGAGAGGCTGTTCTCAAACCCAATTCCCCTCGACCCTATTTTGCATTCAAATACATATCATCATCATCATCATCACCATCAGCATCAGCATCATCACTAACAAAGGAATTAGGAGACAGAAGGGCACAGCAGTAAGAGCATTAGCTTGGAGTTCTCCAGAGTAACTTCAAACCCAGCTTCACTTTGATGAGACCTTGGGCAAGTCACATAATCTACTAAGCTTTGTTTGATGAACATTATTTCCTGGGGTCATGGTGAGGATTCTGCTTCAGAGTCTCTGAAAAGTGAACCAGCCTTTTGTGGAGGGGGAGGAGTCGGGGTGGAGGGGGTGGTGATGATGATGATGATGATGATGATGATGATATACAGAAGGCACCAGCAAAATCCTGCCCCTCTTCTACAGCTTGACCACAGGGCCTGTTCTTTCCTTGAGTCCCCCTGATGAGGTGGAGCTAATTAAGGAGATACTGAGGGAGACAGTTTTCCATCTTTGCTAAAGGCTGGGGCTCAATCCTGGACCACCAGCTTCCCCTGACAATTTCCCTCCCACTGCAGGAGTGAGAGAGAGCGCGCGACAGGCTGCTGATGACTCCGAGGGAGGGACCCTGGACATGTGCTGTAGTGAAAGGCTGTTGGGTAAGTGTCCTCCACACTCCTGTGACTCAAGAACACAGGCCTGGGGAAGAGGGTACCACTTGACACAGAGCCAGAGGCCTGGCTAGCTGTGACTTGCTGTTCCACAGTCTCTGTCTAGATGGGGATTTGTTTCTCAAACCCTGGGTGGCTTTCTGACCTAGTGTCATTTTGGGGCAGCTCTGTCTCCTCTGAGAGGAAGCTTCAGCACAGCTTCAGCACAGCTGAAGCACCTAAGCACAGCTGAAGGTGTGCTTAGAGGTAGAAAGAGGGCAGGCCAGGGAGCCTGGCAAAGAGAGGGAGGGGAGGGAGGGAGGGAGGGAGGGAGGGAGGGAGAGAGAGAGAGAGAGAGAGAGAGAGAGAGAGAGAGAGAGAGAGAGAGAGAGAGAGAG